AAGTTCTATAAGAGCAAATATATTTTTCTGATATTATATGTTGATGATATTTTACTTGCCAACAATGATATGTGCCTATTGCATGAAATCAATAGAATTTTAATTAAGAATTTTGAGATGAAAGATTTTGGTGATATATCTTTTGTATTAAGCATACATATATACTAGGATCGCTCTCAGGGTATTATGAAACCATCGCAAAAGAATTATATAAAAAAGATTCTTAAAAAATATGACATGCAAAATTATAAATCAAAAGACACCCCTGTGGGTAACGGAGACAAGTTTAATCTAGATCAGTATCCTAAAAATGGTTTTGAAGAAAAAAAAAAAAGAAAGGATTTCTTATGCGTCACCAGTAGAGAGTCTATTGTATACTCTTACATTATTGGGATATTAGATAGATATTTAAACAATTTTGAATTAAATCATTGGAATGTAACCCAACGGGTCTTGCAGTATTTACAGAAAATAAAAAACTACATGCTCACATATCGGAGGTCAGATAAGTTCGAAATCATTGAATATACTAATTTCGATTATACCGGATGTCAAGATAGTATGAAATCAACATCAAACTGTATCTATTTGTTGATTAGAGGTGTTGTATCTTGGAAGAGTGTTAAACAGTTTCTTATAACATCTTCTAATATGGTTGCAGAATTTATAACTTGCTATGAGACATCTAACCATGAAATTTGATTGTGAAATTTTGTTACAAAATTATGTGTAGTGAATAATATTGAAAGACTTTTTAAATTATTTTGTGACAATAAATCAGTAATTCTATATTCTAATAACAACGGAAGTTCGACAAAATCTAAACGTATAGATTTCAAATTTCTGACCGTTAAAGAAAAAGTACAAAGTGGACAGTTATAGATAGAGTATATCAGGACAAATTTCATGGTTGCGGATCCGCTTACTAAGAGATCACCATCCAAATACCAAACTGTTTCATACTATTAAATGATGTACAATTTTAGTGGGAGTTTATTGTGTTAAATATTCTTATGATATTTTTTATTATTAATATTTTAAAGATATTTTATGCATAAATAAAGTTTGGATTTATTTACATTCTATTTTTTATATGATTTGATCTCACAAAGTTTAATGTGAACCAATTGAAAATAGGCATGCTATAATCACATTGCCTGAAATTTTTATACTATACATTCACATCATGATTCATGTCATTCAATTGTATCAGCATATGTGACCATTGATGGATCGAATTACGAAATTGTGACAAATGCCGTTTTGATCATATGTTGATGTGATTGATGGACTGATTTGGTTACAAATACATTTGATAATGACAGTAAAATTGAACTCATATGGTTAATTGTAAAATATAATTATAAAGTTACACATGTAGTCCAAGTAAAAAATTGGTGGATTCTTAATCCAAGAATCCATCATTGAACTTATATGTGAATAATTATGTATTACAGACTGTCAAATAAGATTAAATTCAATTAAAGTGATCAATTATGAATTGGATTTTAATGTATCTAATAGAATGTTGATTTTTAATGTGTAGAGATTTAAAAATATTTTTTAGTTTTATGATGGGTTGAAATATGAATGCAAAAGGTAACCAAAATGTTATTTATAAATAGAGTTATGGTCCCCAATTCACACGTATACTTATTATCGCTTTTTTCTAATATCACAAAATAACTATTTCCTGATATCCTATCGTCAGGAAAGATACCAAAGAGAAATTAAATGATTTTTTAAGAATTGACAAATACGTGTTGACCTGAAATGCCACTCCAAAATCTCTAGAGATTCAAATACCAGTTTGTCAATATGAATTCAGGTATGTTTCCGTAATTTTGCCGTTTATTTATTTCTTAATAATCATCATAAAAATTTTGGATTTAATAGGTGATGATTTTCACCAAAAATTAATATAAACTACCATTCTAACATCGCTTCCTAATATTGTCTCTCCTTTTTATTTTTCCACAAACGATTGTCTCTCCTTTTTTTCGTACAATCAAATTATGCTATTTGTTAATGCCAATCGATGAATTTGTGCTCATCGATGGTATCTGAGGTAATATAAAGAATTTCACCAAAATAACAATTTTTAAAAAAGGCAAATGTAATATTGGTGCCTATAACACTCCTTTTGCTCATCTCCTGTTCCCTTTCTTTCTTTTTTTGTGTGTAAGACCTTTGGAAATATGGTTTAGAAATTAGTAAAAATGTGATATTTGTATAGATGAGATATGTGAAGAGCCTTCGTGTATTCGTTGCATTTTACTGATGTGATTTTTCTTTTTTGTTGTATATATACGAAGTAAATTTTCAGTTTTTGTGATTAATTTGTTGTTTACCTTCATGTCATTTTAAGATTGTATTTTTAGTTTTAGTGGATTCTTTCGGTTTTTTCTTCTTAGCCGTTAATGATTGGTCTAAATGATTTTTGGCTATTAATATTTGGTGTAAATGATTAATAGTGCTCTTTCAATTGGTGTCAATGATTGATAGTTGTATGTCAATTTAAAACTTTTTTTCTGTAATGTGGGCGTTAAGTTTTGTATTACCTTTACAATTTTAGAGCTTGTGTGATTAATAGTGAAAGTAATAACCAAGTTGGCTATATTTCTGTTGACGTTTGATATATTTTTTAAACTTGGATATTCTATAAATCTAGATGTTATCATTGAGATGGACTTCATGATCTTGAAATTTTGATTCTTGTTCTGGAAGAATATGATGAAAAGCTTTAAGAATTTTTTTTTAAAAAAAAAGGTTTTTGAGTCTAGCGTATTATAATTCCCATAGATATCAATTGGTCAGTTTTGCTTGGTTTCTTATTAGCTTCTTCTACAATTAGTTACCTGCACTATGAGTGGTTGGAATGTTAGAAAATTTCTTCGCACTACTTAGTAAAAGTAAAATATTCTTTACCGACCACGTGAAAGAAGACATTTGAAATTATTTATAAGAAGTTTAGTATAATAAAAAATTAACTTTTTATGCACTGACAATATAATTATATTTTTACACTAACAACTTTGAATGGATGCCATATGTGCATAATTTGAATTCATGTTATGTGCTATGATCTAAACCAAACTTGCTTGTGTAAAAAAAATTTTACACTGACCGTGTATGCAAAAGTTATCAATCAATTGGTAACATTTTATTCATTTCATTACTATTATAACCGAAATAAAATGACTCTAATAATTAGATAAAAGGGTACTTTGATCACACCAACAACTAAGACAAAAAAAATGCTTACACTCCTAATTACTTACTAAACACTTGCCTAGACTATCCAAGGAGTATAGATATAGATAAATATAGATTATGTACGTATCCATCAAATGTTGAACTGTCAATGGAGCCGGATTATCCTGAATTCGAACCATCCAGTCCAAAAAGGCCCACTGAGCCTAAGCTTTAATTGGATCGGATAGAGTTTGGGACTAAATATTAGATTTGAACTAAATGTGAGTAGAATTTAGGCGATACTAGGCTCAAGTTTGATTAAAGTCCGACCCATGTATGAGTATGATTATAGACGTAAAATATATATAATAATATTTATAATTTATAATTATACATATTATGACATAAAATGTTAATAATTTATATAAATTTGTATTAGTTCATAATTATCAAATATATTATATATAAGGGTTAAATGTATAAAAACTTAACAAACTATTATCCTAGTTGAACTTTACACCCTAAAGTATTCTAATAGGCACTTTACACCTTGATCAACTGAAAAATAATTCAAAAATTAATTTCATGCAAGTAATTGGTGAATTTAACCCTTTATATAATTATGTATTTAATTATGAGTTTGGATCAAATCTGATTTGAACCCAAAACTTATATAATAGTGTAAGCTAAATTTGAGCCTTTAAATATGAGTCCAAATCCCACAAATTCATATAATTTGTAAGTCGAGTTTGAACTTGTTAAAACCCGACTCAAAAAATCCAATTGACACTCCTAATTAATGCATGTAATAGTATATCGCTTCACAGTCCCCTTGCCTAGACTATCCAAGAAGCATAGATATATACAGATAGATAAATAGATATAGATTGTTTATGTATGCATTTGAACTTGCCTAGATTATCGAGGGAGTATAGATAGGTAGATATAGATTGTTTGTGTGTACATCAAATGCATGTAATAGTATATCACTTCATAGAGGAAAAGGATACTTCTAGGAGGAAACAACTAATGTTTTTGAGTTTCTCCAAGAAGGTCATGAATTCTGCACGCTCCAAGTAAAAATTTTAGAGAAAGACACCAAGTGTTGAAATACTACGCAAAAGTTGATATACCATTTCTAGAGGAAGTGAATTAGTTGTTTCATTAGTGTTATAAAATCAAAAAAAAAAAAACATAATGGAGGACTTGATTAGTGAGGTTATAAATTCACAATAATTTACCTAAGTATATTACATAAACACAAGAAGGAGACTAATAGATCCAAATAATGTAAAATTACACAAGAAGATCAAAAAAAGAATTTAGAAAGTAACTAGTAAATGTATATCGTTTTGTCCAAGGATGAATCGATCATCAGAAGAAGATTTTGGCCAAAAGTTATGATACATTCACGGAGAACTAAACTTCTATCCTTTCATTAAATTTCTCGTGGAATCACAAATGAAGTTTTCATTTTGTAAGCGTAGCCAATTTCCAAAACAAATCCCAATTGTGTTGATCTTTCCATTTCAGGAGTGGAATATATACAATCTCCTTGGGCATGGCAGTTGTACTCTTTCCCTACTTTTCCTTTCGTTCACTTTCTTCACCATCGAATAGGTAAAAATTTTGCGGAGTAGCTCCCGGTTGCTCAATCCCATGCCAAAGTCATGGAAAAATGACAGAAAATGAACTTAACCAAGGCTAATTCGGGATACAGAACTAACCAAAAATTAAACCATAAGTATAATTTTCATCTTACCTTGGGTTCTTAGATGGAAGACATCATCATATACTCAAAGTACTTGCGCCAGTGGAAATATTTGTATGTCCAATTATTTCATTAGCATCGTACATGATGTACGAATATTACAATTCTTGAAGTTCAAAAAAGAGGAAAAAAAAACTACATAAATACTATATATATAGTCTGTTTACAGCAAGCCAACGCATAATTCAAATTACATGAAAACATAATTTTTCCATGCTTTCAAAGCTAATAATGCTGTATACCCTTGTTCACAACTTTTCTCAATATATTCATAGTGATGAAGGAACTCTCAGCCCAGGATGAAAGTATTTACTCTTTATAGAAGCAGCAAACCTCAGCTCCTTTCAGAACCATCCAAAGCCCTCCTCCATCTCATTAAAAAAGAAAAGAAAAGGTAGACCCTTAAGAAGATATGATATATTAGGAGTGATTCTTGTTTCTGGATCAAGAATCATAATAGGTATCTGTGAATTTACTCTTGATCCACTTGAAGCTGTTCCTCAGAGAGGACTTGAGCTTGCCTTCCATAGTATACATATTATAGGCTGCAACTCTTTTTCTCCTCTTGACCTCAGGATTGTCACCAGGGCCATTAAAGCTATATGACTTGCTTCTGTCTTCAAAATCAAATCTTGCTTCTGCATAAGATGCTGAATAATAGGGAAATGATTTCATTTTCTCCATGATAGATGAAAAAGAAAGAGGAGAACGGGAAGCTTCCTTATGCCTATGGTGGTAGAGAGAAACATTTACTCCCATAACAATGAAATATATGGAGGAGAGGAAACATATATGGACCCCATGCAAAAGGTTTGTGTGTCTAGTGCGGTCTGCATGGGGCATGATTGTGACTTTGATTTGAATATTAGAGGATTTGTATCAAGATTCGTGTATAGCGGCACCATAGGATGAACACATATAGTGGCTGAATTAAATGGATGTGGGGGTATCTCTCACCAAAGTGTGCACTAAACTAGTAAAATATCTACAAATAATATTGTGAAGCATTAAACCCATTGGTGCTCATCATTACAAGATGGAGTCACATTAGATATACCAACAAAAATTGGCACTAAAAAATTTGTACCATGATTTCTGCGGTGACAGATAATTTGTATAGATTGGTTTATCACACTTCCAATCTTCTAGATCAAGAGCACTGAAGGATGGCTATGATCATGTCTTCTTGCTTTTTGTTGGTTGACCATTAGATATGGGATTGAAGTTCTAATTAAACTCAACAACAATGTAAAATTATTTGACTAGTGATGACAATAGTGTAAATTTATGTATTCCTAAAATACATGTAGTAAATTCGATACCATTTCGAGACAACACAAAAAAAATAGTGCTGTCGCTTCTAGGAAATCATCCAATTATTCCAAGCAATTATGATGAAAAATGCGAGACGGGTGTCTTAAATGAAACATGAACCTAAAGACTATCAATCTAAGAAGCCTTTATCCACAATAACTAATCCTACCTAATTTGCAAACCAAACAAGCACTCAGAGCCAAAGGCATGCTGCCACATGGAACAGCAATGCCATTTATGAAAAGAAAGGCTGCTCGAAAGGGGAATGAAAATGGTACTATTGCATCCTTTTTGTTTATGGTGAACTGTTAACAGAATGCCATAGGGTTGATATAAGTATATGGTAGCTAACACTTGATGAAGCAAAGATCCAAATGAATTAGAAAACGAAATTCCACATCTCAGCTAAAAAAAATAGATCACTATTTCAAAAATTTAGGAGGAGAAGAGAAGATGATTGTTGAGACTCTCGTGTGTTTAAGTAATTTTTGTGTCTATGATTTGATCATGCAATGAAAAGTGATGTTAGCATAAAAAAAAAAAAAAAAAAAAAGGGTGGAAAGTCCACCGATGTTTGGTCATGATGGGTTGTGGGAGCCAGCAAAGTTAAGGTAAAGTATAGGTGGCTCCACCACCCACCACCAATTGCAGCACCAAGTTGGAGTTGAACCCGAGACTGGGACAGCATCAATGGGGGTGCTGGCTAGCTCCACCTGTTCAATAAAATAAACCTCGTGCGGCTGTTTCCTTTATCCTTTGCTCAAGTTTGCGGGCCTTTTGTGTCTATCTTGCCAGCCATTTTTTGCTAAAACTCAAACGCTCATCAGCTTGTTATGCATTGATCAGTTTCACTGCAATAGGGTAGATATCATAGGCACGAACGTTTTGATTGAAACATTATTCAGCTTTTTCTTTGATACACTTTTTTGCAGAGAACTAATTATCAACTAGGCAAATCATCCCTTCAAAAAAGTATTCTTGAATCATATTTGGCCAAAGTTCTTGAGCAAACAATCAATTATCTCAAGTGCTACCTGCCACGGTAAAAAGCCAACCATGCTTAAATCACATTTGGATTACATACACTGCTGCAAAAGCCTACTCTCTTTTATAATACTGATGGCAACCAAATGGAAATTCACGATATATATATATATATATATATAGAGAGAGAGAGAGAGAGAGAGAGAGAGCTGACATCAGAATCAAACATGAATCAACCAACAACTATTGAACGCTGGTGAAGTAGAATCACCTAAATGAGATAACTATTGGATTTTGAAAAAGAGAGAAGTTCTGGCATTTATCTCTGTTCGGTTTCTTCCTCTCTTTCCCCATGCTTTTCCATGAGGAACGGAGCATGCGCCAGAGTGAGTATCCGTCTGCATTTACTTGTAACTGCAGAAAGTCCTTTAAAATCTAATAAAGTAGCTAGACAAAATATATGAGATGAGACTCCAACTGATATTGTCTCAACACAGCTTTATGTGCATGTGAAGTGCTTTACATGCACAAACTACAATGCTCGCGAGATAGACACCAAATATATGGGCCAAAGCATTTGTGATAAAAAGTTCAACTTTCTTATTAGTCAGTTTTCCACAATGCTTCATTTTCCAATTAGAAAATAATAGCAGAGGTCAATTGGACAAGGTTTTGCAACATTGATGTTAGCAAAAGACATATATACATATGCCAATATAGTCGTAGCTGAAAGGTGATAATCTAAATCTTTTCACCTCCACTGATCTGACATCACAGCAGAAAAGCTTCCAACAAGTTGTTGAGGCCACATTGATTTGATAAATACGCTGCCGCATGCTGCTTTATCCAGTTCACAACTGATAAGATTGTAATATCTTTTCCTCATTCGAATAGGATACAACACTTGCCAAATAACTTTCAATCGGCCTGCAATTCATGATCAGAGATTTCTTAACAACTTTCAATCTATAAAGTGAAGGCAGAAGCATTGCGGTACATCAGGAAGTTTCAAACGAGGAAATAACTAAGTCCCTGTTTAAAAAAAAAAAGATCTAATCAACTCTTTTTCTGATTTCTTAACAGCCCTTTTTTTCTGGAGGGAGGAGGGAATTCAACTTTTAGATACAAGTAAAGCAATTATGACATCGAACTGCAATCCCTCTGATTGCATCAAAGCAAATTTTTTGAAGCATAGATTGGACCATAACCATGACATACTAAGCAGTCACTTCACTAGTTACTTCTTATCCTAGTAACTTCACTAGTGAGCAGTCAGTTGCAGAAAAGATGCCACTACTCTTTTACCCCATAGATTCAAACATGTATATACTTCCAAAAAAGAAAAAAACACTGAAGCAAAAAACACAAGTAATATTCGTAAAAGCAATGTCCAGACTCGAGAGCATGTACAAACCTAGTTGCTGGAGCATTAACAGCAGAGTGGGCTGGTAAACGAAAAAAAATCAGCTCCATGCTCAACGTCATCAGTAATGACGTTCCCACATTGAGCCATGAGTACCCTATAAATTCTCTTAGAACAAATCTCTCCTAATCTTCTGTCATCACCAAGTAAACCTTCTGTAGTCAAATCTTGGAGCAAAAATTCTTTCTCATGCACCTGACAACATGCAGAAGAAACTTAAACTCGAACCGAAACTGATGTCAACCAGAGAACATATAGATCATATTGGACTCAGGCCAACACAATTGATCAAATTTTGCATTATAATTATGAGAGAAGCAAAAACCTAAGACACACGTCATCTAGGAGCACAATCTGGAATCTCAGGCAATCTTTTAACAGGCAATATCTGAACTTTAAGCTAATTTCCCCCACAAAAATTTAAATGAACTGCTTAGGTTATGGAAACTGATCCAATCTTCTAGTTCTTTAGAAAGTAATCTAAGTGTTTAATAGAATAAACCTATTTGCCTTTTGCAACTATCACCCCCCTTCTACAGAAAACCTCAATGGGGCAATCACATCGGATGCAGAACATTATAGATCTTTAACAGTGAACCCTGAAACTCAGGAGTGTGCAATCCTAATGGAAAATTTTTCTTTGGCTAATTTGAAATTCTCAATAAAATAACAAGCAAGTTTTAAAAAAAATGAAAAAGAAAAAAAAAACAAGAGAAGTATCAAAACAGCCTTTTGGTCATGTAAAGTACTGGAAACCCAAGAAAAGAAACCGTGGTAATTCAGGAACTAGTCAAGCTTCAACTATTTCAAAAGCTTTCACGAAAGCTACCATTATAAGTTCATGCAACTGCTAAAAAGCAGTCCTAGAAATATAAGAAAGTCTAATGAAATACCAATCCTGTTTTTGTAACCAACTTAGAGCACATATATTGATTCCCTTAAGTTTTATTTGTTTATCAATTTAATAGTTTTTTTTTTCGGGGTGGGGGAAGATTTTCTCAAGCAGACGTTTTTATTCCATTCTGTGGCACCCTTGAAAGGATGACACGAACCGTCACACTTGCACCCAATTTGATTTCTCTTATCTGAGATTTTCAAAGCCAGATCAACAATTAAAAATTTACTTATTCTTGTCCCCAAATATGGACATGGAATCAGTCAACAGAGTAGTTTAGAAAGGTCTTCAAATGAACTGGCAAGCACGGGCAAGACAAGGTACTGTGACAAATTAATAGAATAAAATAGTTGACAAGTAGAATTTTCAACATATAAGAATTATTTATTGATGAGAGAGAGAGAGAGAGTTTTAAGAAATTCTGTATTGATACTAACCGATTTACTCGGATCCATGTAAACAGTCAAAAGTGATTTCATTGTGGGATACTTTTTCCATATAGCAATGGCAAACCGTGGTTGTACCTTAGGGATAGCTACCAATGCTTTTAACCTGCAATTAATTGTACATGGAATATAAGTCCAAAAACCAAGATTGTTATATAGCACATGATACAAATATACCTAATGACAGCCTTTACAGCAGAAGAAGCATCTTGCATACAGAATAACTGCAGTTGAAATATCCAGAGTAAAAAAATTAAAAATTGCTAGATTGATTTCAGAGCTGCGACAAAAGGTGAAATTTAACTCTTTCATAGCCACACCAAAACCTCATGAGCAAAACTCGCTCCTTATATTCCTCAGGTCTCCAAATATATACACATTAACAATGAAATCCTTGTATTCTTTCCCCCATTTAAAGGATTGCAACCTATACAATTGGGTGCACCAGTGCATGTCTTACATGCTATGGCAACTGCTGATCTGGTTTTTGGAAATGTGTCTCACTAACCACCTTCTTAGCTAATGCATATGTAAACTGAAGACTCTAGATATCAATCCCAATAACTTCTCTTAGTTCAGGTTCCCGCTTCAGTATGTAAGAAATAATTGTGGAAACCAGGCAGAAATCTCCACTAACTCCCCCCCCCCCCAAAAAAAAAAATCCCCAGGAAAAAGGGACAAACTGTAGTGTTATCGTAGACAAAAGTGACAAAGGATCAAACTGTGAAAACATTGGAGAACATAATTCACAACTAATGGTTGCTACTGGGAACTGAACTCCTGCAGATGAATTTTTAACTGAGTTTTAGCTTATAAAAAGTCAATTTCCAACTTTGCTCTGCCTTTTCACTTGTCCTAAATTCTCATTAATCTTTCAAGTTTGCTCTGCCTTACGCCAGTGAAATATTCAACAACTTTTAAATCCATGCTTTGTTTATGTTTTCTCTGTGAGACACTTACTCGTATAACAGACCATCCTGAAGAGGAAAATGAGGTAATTCTTACTTTCTTCTAATTTACTGTGCTTGATCTTTGTTCACATCATTAGAAAAAAAGGGATAAAAAAAGACAAAGTAGAGATGTAATATAAGCATATACTCCTGTAAGAAAGGTTGCAACTTTAGCTCACCCCAGGATTAAATTGTCTACAGAAAAGGAGGTTAAAACAGAGCAATAGGACTAAACTCGAAATGCAGAATTGCTGGGCAGCAGAAGATAGCCTTAAGAAGTTATATCATGCTAAAATACAATAGGAAGTAGAAACTATGGTACGTGGTGCTTCATGGCAACCCATGCTTAAGTGTTCCTAGTGTTAGGTCTTAGATGTGCAACATAATATAGTCCAAGGAATAACACACTACAAAGCATTTTGAACTTTTATTAGCGCTTCTGCCATTCTCTTATATTATCGTTTTTCCAAGTTCCTGACAAACTGAGTAAAACAATATTAATCCAAAAATGATTAGAAACATTGTCAAACAAAGTTTAAAACAATGCGCAAGTCTTCAACCTCTCCTGCTTATTTTTCTTTGACGAATTTCCTCCTCCTTTTTAAAGCTGCTAAAGAAATGCCATTTTTGTAAAGCTGTTTAAAAATTTTAAAGGGTAACTTGTTGGCAAAGTTTTAAACAGTCAAAAGCTGTTCACAATAGCACCTTGAGGCACGCTACTTCGAATGGCACTTTTCCAGCATAAAGTAGGTAAAAGCAGAATTCAAAACACAAAACTAGCTTTTAGCTTAAAAAGGAGCTATATGCAGCTGATTTGACAGCAATGGAAGATAGGCCAGTATTATCTGAATAAGCCAGTTCAAAGAAATCTGACACAGTGGGCACCAACAAATCCAATTTCCATATGGATTCTATATCATTCATAAATCGAAGTATTAAGTAAAAGTAGCGTACATTTTAAAACATCAAGAATGGATTGCTATGCTGAAGTAAAATAGTAAGTGAAAATGATAGCCAAATCGTGAGTTGCATGTTTAAAGCATGATGCATTAGCCCAAAAACTTTAGATTAGAGGGGGAAAAAGCCAAATAAATTCCTACAGCAAGAACCAAGATCCCTTAATGAACAAACTGTTTGAAATAACATACCATGTATTCTTCTTTATGAGATTTCTATCAGCACAATCCTTGGGTACAAGAGAGCCATTTGCATTCACTGATAATGGTGTTGGCTTCTTCCTGCATTGGTAAAAAGCAGATAGCAAAGGACCTAAGTACTAGATTTTGACCAACTTTCGGCCAAGGTGGAAATTTGATGGTATCCACAAAGAGCACTGAAGTAGTTAATCAAACCTTGTTAAAACCTTGTTGCAGTTACAGGTCAAGCATTTGATCCGTCAAAAACTTTTTAAAAAAAAAAAATTCTAATCCCCTAATCCTCATGCAGAAAGACATAAAAGCTACATGGAACCAATATCTAGGTCAACAAAACCAACCTAGGAAGTGTAGCATATCATTTTTAGCTCCCACAAATAAGGTCTATGACCAGATTTGACAGTTTTAAGTAGGTTTGTATGCTTAAAATTTAGGGTAAAAAACAAAAAAAAAAACCCTTGTGGTAAATCTAATGTACAGAAAAGCCCCCGTGGTTTCAAAACGTACAACACGACACCTCATGCTTTAAACTAAATTGTAAAGGTGACGGAATCCGTTAAATTTAACGGAAATGGACGAAATGACAAAAATGCAAAAGACAACTCAACAAAATCATTTGGTTTAATATTTAGAGAGAGAGTATTAAGGGTTAAGGGGTAAAATAGGTATATTTGTTAAAAATTAGGTATAAAAAAAATTTTTTAGATTCCAATAAGTCATTTCCATTAAATTTAACAGATTCCGTCACCTTTACAATTTAGTTCAAAGTATGAAGTGTCGTGTTGTACGTTTTGAAACCACGGGGAGCTTTTCTATATATTAGATTTATCACGGGGGGCTTTTTTGTTTTTTACCCCAAAATTTAAATAAGGTTTGTAGTACATATCAGACTGTACCATAGTCCAATGTAAACTTGATATCTGGTACAGGTTGGAACTCATTTCATTTCTTCTGTTCTCCTTATATGTTTCCCATTTTGTCTTCTTTACCACCATACAAAATGTTCCCCCATGGCATACATCATGCATTATTAAACAAGACGACCAGATTAGCCCGTTCATAGTCAACAATCCCTGGGCATATTTAGATTGACCTAACTGATTTCAAGAAGACACACAGATGAGAATGGGAAAAGGAAAATGGGATAAATACTGCAGACTAAAGAAGAAATTGGAAATGGAAAAAGACGACTTCACAGTTATAAATCATAATAGACCAACAACGGACATTGGCAACCTTAGTTAAATACATCAATATTCTTACAAATACTAAACTAAAGTGAACAGTGAAGGCCGGAGGTGAATAACCTCTCACCTAAAATCACCTTCTCCTCTCAGGTAAATACAACTTTGGCCCCTAAAGACAGGATTAGCGAAATAAAATATTACACCCTGAAGTTTTTGTTTCAATTTGTTTTTCTTGCTTCATTTTGTACATTATCCCTCTAGAAATCTCATTCAACGAACTGCAAAGGGATTCAAAGTCAGTTCATCTCATTTTTGTGAGAATTACTCATTCCCTTAACTGTATTGCTCCATTCAACCCCCAGGTCTCAACATTTTAATGACAAATGACATACAACAGAGAGCAAGAGAGATTTTAAAATGCTGTTACTGAAGGATTAAGTAAGTACAATCAGACCAATGCCTTCTGGCAAAAAAAACAGCAGTAGAGCTGAAATAACTAACTTTTAGGTACTATATTCTTACTTAGATGGAAAAAGTTGTCACCCAATAATTATATATGCTCAATAAATCTGCAACATCAGCTCATAAAAAGCTCAAACCTGTAAGATACACATTCAGGTCGTCTACATACTCAAACTTATGACAGAACTGTCCATTGCATACCTATACTGACAAGAGGCAAGGCTGTGAGTCAAACCAACAACATGTTCTGCTAATTCAGCTTCATCACAACACAGTCTTGAATGCACCCTAGTAAAATGAGTGGCTAATTTTGCCAACACCTGTGAACCAGAAAAAAAATGGTTTAAAGGCAACATTTAGTTTCATAAGCTGTCCTGATAGGAGAATTCAGTTCCCTGCAAACAAAATTCTTCAAGCAATTATGATTATTAATGACGACAAAGTCATGTCCAACAACCTCCTCTATTGGTGGGCGCTTCCAACCTTCATATTTGCTGGGGTTCTTATAATGATCTTGTTCCCTATTACATCAACATCATAAAGCATAAAAATTCAATAGAGTATCCAAAAAGAAAAGCCCGATGCGACTCAAATATTTTCAATAGTCAAAAATTGCTTCATTGCAAAAGTCTCATACAGAATAACTGTAGCCCAGTTCAGAATTAGAAACATGACACGAATTCAGCAAAGCAATCAAATCAGATGGAAACTAAAAAAGCTTTATTCATCACATATGTATACAACACAACATGGCTATATGGTGGTCAAAGGCGCAATGCGCACTATAGAATAAGGGGCCTTGTGGGGCTTAAGCACAAAGCTTAAAGCAAGCATGCAAGCTTTATTGACATTAAGATTCTTATGCATATAGTATGTTTTCATTTATAGCATAAAATACTGCAACAACAGTTTTTCGACATTTTCATTACTAAAAGATGAATAATGAACAGCACATTCGATGTCCAAAAATGCAAATTAGTGCATTGAATGCTAATTTACATGCTAAAAATGTCAAAACAATAACATATGCAATTTCAAAGAAAGAAAAAAATAGAAACATAGCAAACAAACAGCTAACTTTAAAGGTTCAAGCATTGTAAAATGCATAGACTATGAAGCTCCTTATGATCTTCATTAATCAAGTCAACAAAAATTGAGGGTCTACTTGAGTAATAATCAGTTATCCTATGCTTCTCATGCCACAAACTAATCATACTACTCATTAACCAGGGGTCACCATAAGAAGACATTCAATGGTTTTTATAAATAAACAAAGAAAAGTCAACAAAGAGATTTTTTTTTTTTTTTTGGGGGGGCTCCGTGTGCTTTTCTTGTGCTTTATAATGGCCACTTGCTTCAGATGATAAAAAGCTCTGGGCTTGTGCTCTGCCTGGCTTTGCACTTAATGGTGGGCTTTAGGCTCTTTTAACTAGTATACATGGCAATGTTAGAATAGTGACTAAATACTATTCTAGCTATATGCAGATCAGACAGCACAGTCAAAGAAGGACAAATGTCTATGCCTGCATCTGGTCTCCAGCAGGAGTTCAATGAAAAACAGAAAGCTTAAGTGCTCAATGAAAATATAGGATTTGAAATGACAAGCACAAACCAAGTGGTAGATATCTGCATATTATTGTTCCTATGATTCTAAGCCAAAAAATATAATTGTAAGGGTAGCATGAAATAGCAGCACTATAAACATGCTCTACCAGACTTTGGAATTGAACCTGAACCTCCAGAAATGAGCCTGAGCCTCAAACTTACACTAAAAGCACAGCAAGCATCAAGAAATCAAGTCAGAAACTTTAGCATCACCATCTATAAACACATACATAATGAGTATATGCACCATGATTAAAGTTTTCTTTCTCTTATTTTAATTAGGATTAGGCAATCCAGATTACCAATCAGAAAGACTAGTTTCCACATCATTTTTCTTCAAAGGAAGGACTTTGGGTTTCTTAATTTCTTCCTCAGAATGGCAATTGAAAAAATGATAACAGAAAAAGGTAGGCAGGCTAGTATGTTGATGATGGAATGATAAGGCCACAAAGACACATGTTTAGATTGAGACTTTGGATTTGCTTACACGAACTAATATCATTTAGCAGAATGGTATTGCCAGTGGATTTGGATGTGACATTGTTAGGGTTCTAATTAGCTACTAAGCTTAGAAATTCAAGCTCCAATAGTGCTTTAAAGACTTTAATCCAGAGTGATTTGAAAGAAAAGCAGTAAAATTTGTCATCTACCTTAATTTCCTAGGTACTACAACCACTTGTTTTGTTTAGCTTTTTTTTTCTTACTGCCAATTATACATACATCAAACACAAATGCAATAAGTCAAAGCACATGAAAAACAGTATTGACCACACAAATAGGCCCAGAACCATGAAGTCCATGCCCCAGAGAACAAATCACACCTTTAGACTCAAATTATTTAACAAAAACGTTCTCTTTCACTTTTATCAATCAGTAAAGACACATGTTGACATTTACCATTTTAATTGTATAATTAGCCAATAACCAGAAACCTTAAACAGTAGTAGAATCAGCTTTGATCAAACAAATCCCCAAGTTGACATTCAGGTTATTACGGGACCAATAATACTCACAAGCACACACACAACATATGGGTCTGTGTGTACAAGTGTGGTGCATGTATGTTGCCTTGAATTTGTGTATATACCACTATATGTGTCTATCTGCATATTTTTTGAAAAGGGAAGAATAAACACATGACTCAATTATGTTGACTAAACAGAGGAAAGAAGTGAAAACTATAAACAAAGACCTAATAAGCAACCAGATAATAATGAGTAGATACTGGATTCCTTTCCTCTCAAAGTCATACCAATATGCTATAGTCAAAAATCTACTCACGTCTTCATCTCTTCAAGGATTTCCACATTCATAAAATTATCAATGAACATATAAAAAAAATGAAAAAGTAAAACAAAATCTTTGGACATCACAATGTTAGGAAACACAGAAAACAATAACAACCATCAAGAACAAAAAGATATAATCAGATTACAAGTGTTGTGAGAAGTGATAACATATCATCAAGTCAACTGTAACCAAAACCCATGTGCAAATATAAATTACATCAGAAAGATAGCATAGCTTCTAACCGTTTATTTATGTAGGCCATCAGTCTATTTGTGAGGTAACAAATCGTATGGTTTGGATAATGGTATTGAACCCTGGAAGCTTGATCCATAAGTGTTCCACCCATGACGAGATTGCAGAATTCTTCAGCCCCATATATGAGTAACACATATGGTACAACCATGCCCTCAGATGAAATCTGCATCACACCAAAGTCAAAACATTCCAAAATATAGTTCAAACACCATGCCTGTTAATTTAGACAATCAAAGCAAGACTACTAAGAATCAGTAACAGGCTAAAAGAAAGTACAGCATCTTGGCTTGCAGGATTAACATTTCGATGAGCATGACATAAAGCCAATGAGAACATGCTTCTTAATGATACTGGGTGCACCTAAAGGGGTTTTTTAACAAGGCCCAAAAGGCTAAGGCATACCCCAGTGGAAGTCCCCAGGGAATCTACTAGAATACAGATTGACCCACATAACACTCAAGAAACTCAAGGTCACAGTAATTAGAGGATATAAATTGTGTTTGTGCCAAAAATAAGTTGTATTCAACTCTCTTGTTGACTGTACTGAACCAGAAAAGCATAAGGTTAAATCCAGTAGAGTATTGAACAAGAAGCAACTGGTTACAGTGCCAAAAAAACAGATGCAGTTAACATAGGTACCCAGGAACATGAGACTGACAATATCTCTTCAAATTTACAAAGTTCAGTCTCATGTTTGACAATGAGAAGTTTATCATTTCAGTGTAAAAATTTTTACAAGCCAATCAAAATCCAGATTTGATAGCAATGAAAGGAACAGGGTAAGGTTTAGCTCAGAAATTGGTGTATCACTAGAACATCTAAAACACACAGATTCAATAAAAATTACAGATGTGCGCATAGATGCAGAAAGTATAAAGCATCACAGTATGAACCGATAAATCTACATCGCTCTATTGCAACCTTCTTATAGCACACCAAGACCAGTACACCTGAAGCATCAACGCTTCACATATTTATACCTCACAGCTCCACAAGGAATAGGAGTCAACAGATTCAGCTTTAATTGTATAACAAATTAAAATATTCTTGTCTTAGACCTGAAAACAAATTCATACCAAGTCCCAAGACATCTTTTACGCAACATACACTAAACTATTACACAGCCTAGGACTTGTTAAATGGTAGGTCAAAAATCCAAGTTCAATGACCATTCTCTAAAAGGTATGAAAAACAATCAATAATGTGGACAAAAAGTGCACAATACTCTTTAAGATTTCCATTAGACCAAAAAACATTCAAAACATGAAATTATCTTAATGTATCTTAATATCTTAACCTCAAAGAAACAGGAAACTCCATGACTCCATTTGGCAGAGAATAAAGAAACTCAGAGAAGAAATCCTAATAGAACTTTAACTGAATACAAAAATTCCATGACTATAATATAGATTTGGTAGCGATTCCATAATCTGCATTATTGGTATATGATCCCTATTTGATAAACAAAATACACCATTTTTGAGAATGTCAAATTTTACATCTTCTTGTCTACCCTGTTTTTCACTTGACAATGAACCTAAATTTTGCAGCCTCTAATACAAGGAAATTATTTATAAGAAAAAGAAAAGAAAAAAAAGAAGGCAAATGACATTACGCCATTGGGGTAGCAGTTAAGCTATCTTAGGACTCCAGAAGTAACCACAAAAATCTAACTTTCTTCATGAGTCCCCATTCATTTATTGCAGAAATTTCTCTATATCTCAAAATTGGAAAGACATATGTAACTAAACAATGATGATTTGTCAGAATCCAAAAAATCTTTCTCATCCAAAGGGAAATGCTTATGACAAGAAGGGCAACATCCATTCCAGTATTATACTATCTACAGTTCTTATGCCTATATGAAGATGACACCTACAAATGTGAATGGAATTCAAGTGATTGGCAACCTTCACGCATTGATATAATAGCATTTACAAATTCAAGCAAAAGAAAATTAAACATTGGAATATCAGCATAGTACATCTCAATCATTGCTTGAGAAGGAAAATTTTTTTCTTTTATCGTGCATCTCTAAAAAATGATGCTTGTGTAACTAAAGCAGGAAACTCTAAAATCTAACTACATGCGCCTGTGAAAGCGACAAATGAAGCATATAAAATTGCCCCATTAGAAAAATATTGTAAAAACAGATATTACCTGCACCAATTGCTCTGGAACAGGTATTGTCCACACAATAGATCTTTCAATTGCGTTTGACGTTATACGATATGAGAGACCCTTTTCTGCAAACCTTGTAAGCAGATGTCCTGATATAGAAAAGTAAAACACTTGCTTAACACCTTACCAGAAAAAAAGGTGCATGAAAAGAACTCTAGCAAAGCAGCTACAAGAGCACTATGTATTACTAAGCATCATACCTCCGATTGACCCCATTTCAACTATTTTACTATCTATTTGAGCCACAATTGTTTTTTGGGCAAACTTTCCTTTTTCCCACTTCTGCTTTTCTTTTGCCAGTTTTTTCAATGCTGCAGCTTCAGCTATTTGAGCTGCTCTTTCCAATTTCTGTTGCTGCCGATAGATCTTTTGCTCTTCTTTCTGCAGTTTTTTCAAAGCTGCAGCTTCAGCCTTTTGAGCTGCTCTTTCCAATTTCTCCTTCTGAAGGCAGATCTTTTGCTTTTCTTTCTGCAATTTTACCGACTCAGCAGCTTCAACCTTTTGAGCTTCTCTTTCCAGTTTCTCCTCTTCCAGGTAGATCTTTTGCTTTTCATTCTGCAATTTCACCAACTCAACAGCTTCAGCCTTTTGAGATGCTTTTTCCAGTTTATCTTGCTGTAAGTTAATCCTCCATGAGTTGTTCCTCTCTAAAAGTTACTGTTGTTCCAATTAATCACTATACTGGAAAAGACTTACTTCTTTCTGCTGTTTCCTTTCTTCCTTCAGGAGAAGCCTTTCTTCCTTCGACGTCCTCCCTTTCCTGATTGAACTATCTGAACCTTTCTCTGAAATGGCCTTACTCTTGATTTTGCCTTTTGGTTCAGACACTTGAACCATGAGCTCCTTTCTATCAGACTCATCACCAAAAGTACCATGTACCTGAAAAGGAATTCATCAAACCATTATCGACAAAAACAGTAGGGCAAATCACTTGAACAAAGCATCTCATATAAAATGATTTCCAGTACATATATATTCTTTTGGTAATATTTTCAGTACATTAAAAGCCATAGAGATGACAGTTTGCAGCTAAAAGTTCCAAAGAAAGAGCAATTTCCAAAACTCCAACTTTCACCGTAAATTAGTCATCGAACTTATGTACAAAGTTTTTTGCTGTCTTAAAGACATTGGCTTTTAGTGCTTCTAATGCAAGTACTCCGTCAGAAGTTGTCAGAAACAGCTTTTCTATCCCTCTCTCAGTTTTCAAATTCCCATCAAAACACAAAGAAAGTATATTTGCAGAAAACTATAAAAGGCATATCATGCAATGTCTATGCTTTTGTTTTCATATAATAACCTGAACAATTTTCCTTAACAAAATAAGAATGCACATGTGCTTAGTTAGTGCACTCAATACAGGCTAACACTCTGTTCTGCAGAAAAGAATCCAATACTATCAACTATTTCCAGAAATTCCATTTAACTTGACCAATTATTTTTCCAATAAATCATCCACAAGTGCCTAAAGTCTCACTAAGGTACTAGTTCCAATTCACCAAGCATACATCAAAACCCTTATTGAAAGGTTTATACTTCAAGAGGAAAACAGAGATCCAATATAACAGCATTGCCAATTGCAGATTTCAGCCTTAGGTACAAAAGGTCTTCTCTTTCTTCCAATAGCTAACTTCATTCAGCTTGCTTTGCGGCACTGGTTCATATTTCCATTTGAATTTCTATTCATGGCTATTATAAATTCCTAAACTGCATGTGTGCTCCACCATTCCTTTTTTTCTGAATTAACTCAGTTGATCTTTTCTTTCACCTTCTTGCCTTCTGGTATGCAAGATGAGTTCATGGGGAGGAAGGAAATTAATTGTAGAGAAGCCTATCAAAAAGAGTTCAGAAGATGGAGAAAAAACTGGTGATAGATTAAGCTAACTCCTCAGTTATACAATCAAACTCAACAAAGATTCAATTTTGCTAATTGCCAGCCATCAAACATTTACCATCTCAGTACACAGGATCAACACTAAAGGTGTTGCTAAATTTTCAGCAGATTGTAGAACAATTGATGACCTGCTGCACAAATGCATGTAATGTTGCGGCTAATTCATTCCCAAGCTTAATAAAGAGCATTAAGGTTGTTAAAAGACTAGAGCTATGAGATACTTTTATTGCTTCTATTAAAGTGACCGATTACAGTTCCAGTGCAGATCCTAATCTGAGTTATGTCAGCTCTTTCAAAGTACTTGAACCAATTTGCAAACTGTTTAAGCCTCTAATAAATGAATACATACATACATACATAGATACATATACACACACACACACACACGCATATCAAACATAAAAGAACAAATTCCAGAATGTTTCGTATGTTTTGTTTGAAATGCCAAATGCTGTCTCGCAAAAGGACTCTAACGGTGCTTCTTAATGTCAGCTTTTCTCAATTTATGACAAAGTAACAGTAGAAGCAGAAGCAAACCAGAATACCTCAAAATACCTTTAGCCAAGAGGTTTGAATTACCTAAATTTAAGCAACCAAAAACAGCCGCCTAAGTAAGACACTTTCTTACTCATGTCTATGTTTCTTCATTATATTCGTTTTTGGTAGATTCTGAAATGAATATGGGGACCAAGCCAAGAATGTTTCTGTCAAGTCAATCTTAGAACATGCCCTAATCATCCATTCTTATGATCGCACTATTTGTTTCTCCTAGCATACCTTCAAAACAAGACACAATGTGACGACCTGTTTTACTACTAATATCATGCACAGACATGGATATTAATTGGTACAAGGCAAAATTTCATCTCTTGATATACTGAAGGGAACTGACACAGTTTTGGCTACCAGCACAGTATAATCACAATCCAGAGGAGAAGCTATCAGTGCCTTAGACCAAAATTTCAGAAACATGAGTATCCATGCAGACATAAACTTCTGAAGGGATTAAAGGTTGAGAGCAAATTTAATAGGAACAGAAGCAAACCAGTGATCAGAAAAATGGTCAGATGACCATTACAGTGTAAGTGTCATACATTAGTTGTTCATTCTGTCTCAAGCTACTAGATCCTTGTCAGCAGATCTCTAGCCAATATAAAATGAAGGGTAAATCTGATTTAAGTTCAATTAAAATAAATTATATACTGTTTCTCAAAATAAGATTCCAAAACTCAATTTATTTCGCCCTTGGATTTCTATTAAAAATAGGTTAAAAGAGAAAATGAGACAGCAAATTCAAGTGACCAATTAAGTGTTTCAAGATTCCAAAAAGCTTCAAGATAATAAAATCAAAATAGAGATAAGTTCGGAAATGCCATATTAAATTTAACTCTCACGCAACCTGTGCAAACACAAGTCATGAAAAGCAAAATTCTCAGGTAGCAAGAAAACAAACCAGAGATAGATCATATTCCAATGAACAAGGATGCAGGGAGCTGACCACTGCCAGGTGCGTTTGATTAGCCTCACCTGTCAAATTTCCTTTCTATTCAGTGATACTATGTAAAAGGAGTTCATGAAGAGAGCTAAATTTTCTCTTTTGTAGATTGATGCCAAGGGTAAAATAAAGGCATAAAAGAATAGGTTACTTACCATAAGAAAGTGTGGATTCAACAAATCTGGAGCTCAGTTCAAACTCCTCTGCCACATCAACTATCAAACCAGTTCTTTCATCAGCTTCCTGAGCTTCCAATCCTCTCTCAGACTCATTATCAGACTGCAGACATATCAATCTACTCTCTGAAAGTTTTCCAGAAAAAGGAAAAAAGAACAAAGATGAAGTAACTGTGACAAATTTGTCATAAAGTGTTATACACATGGAACAACTAACAGACAGCAAATGAACCATAAACGGCCTTTTACGCTGGTCTCTTTCAAAATTTGGTTCAAAAATATCCAATTGCATGCCTTCTTGAAGGAATTTAGAATTAAACATTTTGCAATTTGTCAAAATTTGCTAAAAAAAAATAGTAACAAAATTCAAGTGACAAAATAGAACATGTTCACACTCAACCAGTGGAACAGCTATCTTGTATATTGTGCCAAGTTTGTGTCTTGGATTACATTTTTAGCTCTGATTGAACTAAAGCATCTCTTCCTCTTAACTAAATGAAAGTGCATTTTGTCAGAGCACAACTACTGGCAAAATATAGAGGAAAAAACCCATCATCCTGGCAATATTTCGAGGCAAAACAAAAGGTTGCTTCAAAACTCATCTAAAAGCATGTTAAGATGTTTAAAAAAGCATGAACTTGGGAAATTAGAGTCCAAGTTCGCGAAGTATGCAAAAGTTAGAGCTCACCAGGAGGCGAGCAGTCAGAAAATAAAGCCCCAGGCGCATCTACTGCTGCTGCCAATTGTTGAAAATTGGAGTCGACGCGCTTGAATTCAGCAATTGCAAGTTCAGAATTGGACATTTTTTCCAATATTGGTGTCTCATCAACAACAGATGGAGGAGAATTTAACCCTGAAAAACAGATAAAAGATATAAACTTGGGATTGGTGGTTCAAGCAATTGGGATATGGCAGAAGTTAAAGCTCACCAGGGGGAGAGTAGACGGAAAATAAAACCCCTGCAGCATCTGCTGTCGCTGCCAATGGTTGAGAACTGGAGTTGCGGCTGCTGAATCCACCATTTGCATGTTCAGAATTGGACACTTTATCCGAAAATGGCGTCTCCCCAACAACAGATGGCGGGGAATCCAACCCTGAAACGAAAACCATTTACTCAATTACCGCTAAAAATATATAACGAAAAATAAAATGCAACCAACAATCCATGCCGAAGGAACCATAGGAGCATTTGCGAATTGAGGCCTCCTCAAGCTTGGAGGAGAAGATATGAGAAAAATTCGGAGGAGTCTCGGTGACGACCGGCTGAGTGGGGGTGGTTCCCGGAGGATGCTTCTGCGGCGTGACGTCATCATCAAGGATGAAGAGTGGAGCGGTAGAATTGCTCGAACTAGGCTTTGAATTAGCCGAGTGGTCTGATAATCTTTGCTTCTTCTTCGTCGGGAAGTACGGGGATGGAGTTGAGAGGTCGATGCAGACGACGTCGTTTTCTGATCTCGGAGCAGTTCGGTTGTACTTTGCATAACCGGTTTTGGCAACGACGTCGTCTTCATCGTCGTCGTCGGAGAGAATGTTCACCGGCTCCGGCTGCGACATTTTTTTTTTTTTTGGGGGGTTTCTAATTAGGCCTTTGAATGAGATTTTGGGCGCGGGATGACGAGGAAGGGCCAGACTACAAATGCAGGTACGGGTACCCGCCCGTTTAGATGATTCTCTTGTCTCTATCCGACTTGTTCAGCGGGCGAATGGGCTTGCAAAAAGCTTATACAAGATTGTTTGAATTTTTTTTTTAAATATGTGTTACATTTTATAATTTGATACATGTGAGATAAAAATAATTAAATAAATAAATTTATTTATTTAAAAAAATATATTTGTGATACAAGTAAAATTTAAAAAGAAAAAACTATCCAACAAAACCGACTTTCACTTGCTTGGCTAAAAACAATATAGTATGAGTTTAATTAGTTTTGCTAAAAATTTATAAACTTTGTTACACCTAATGCAATTGTTGAGAATCCAAATATCTAACCATATTGATCACGCTTTTAATGTGACTTGATGTAGGCACCTCGAATATGTTTATGATAAAAGTAAAATAAAAAATATTATGATTGAGACACGTCAGTCTCGTGATCATATGTGCTAATTGTTTTCTTTCTAGATTTGTAGGTGTAACAGCGAATATTTCAAATCTAGTGGTAGGAGGATATGTTTTAGTTCGAAATACATCAAGAATTATAACTGTATTCCGAATTTGAATCTAGCTGTTAAATTTATGTGTTTGATAAAGCTAAAAATTATCATTTAACATTGGCAGATTAAGGGTTGAGAATGTGGTTTTGCAAACTCTATAAACTTATATATAGGATTGGAAGATGAATCAAGTTACTCAATATTTGAATCAAACTTAACTTAACGAGAACTTGTTCGAATTTAGTTCACTAACTAATCATATCAAGATCGAACAACATTTTATATTCATTATTCAATGATATTCAAACTCGATTCAACAAACAAACAAGTCAAATTTGAACAAAATTTTAAATTTATTAAAATAATCAAATAAGTTTGAATACTAAAATGTTCGATCTGATTAGGTTGGTTTATGTTCCAATTTATATCTATTTGATAATTAGCGACCCTTCAATATCTTAAAGTGAATTTTTTTTTCCACTTATATTATACAGAGAGTTTTGGCAATTATTCCCTAGACACATTTAATCACCTTTCATATCTTTTTACTCATCTTTTAATCTCATAAACATTGATATTCAAAATGCTCAAATGAAGAATAAATACCTACCCAAAAATCTTTATACCCACCCCAAAAATTGAACAATAAACCAAATATGATGGAAGAAAATTTTTGGGCACTTTACATGAAAAGAAAAAAAAGGCAACCAGCTCAAAGGCTAGTGGTTAGAACTCCAAGCGTGCAACAGCCAACGTCTTTTCAGTTTTGGCTAATAAAAAAAGGTAAGTAAGTGATTGAGTGTGACGTCACCGAATCCACCCGACCTGTCTAGTCTGTATAGATTTTGAGTCTCAATGGGTCAGCTGAAGCGCCAGACTCTTCACCTTCACCTTGGTCTTCGCACTGCACATTGCACTCTTTAAATAAGCCATTGACTGCTTCCAAGTTCAAACCATCAAGGATCAACTCTCAACCCACAGAAAAATGGGCATCAAAAGTAGTCTCCATCGCCTTCCATGGGATATCCAAAACCCAGAAGGAGAAGGAGAAGGAGAAGGAGAAGGAGAGGAAGAGGAAGATGATGATGGAGATGGAGATGATGATGACGATCCAGAAGGAGATGCATTACAAGGAGAGGAAATCCCTGAAGAAGAAGAAGACAAAGGGGAAAATGACAGAATCCCTCAAACTCAACATGGAAAGGAAATCTCGGAAGCTGCATTGCAAGGAGAGGAAATCGCTGAAGAAGATCAAGAGGAAAAAGAAAGAATCCCTCCAACTCAACAAGCAGCTGTTCGTGAAGTAAGTGCACGACCAACCCAATACCGTCCAACTTCAGGAACCGGTTCTGATTCTGAAGCACCCCAAAAACACTCTTTCAAACGGCCCAAGCGGGATCAGAAGGATGGTGCAAGAAAGAACAAGACGATGAAGAATGTTGTTGTTATTGGTGCAAGGAATAAAGAAAACCAAAAGAAGACTTCTGTCCATCCCACTACATCATCTTTTGCTAGGGTTTTTACCGAGAAAAATGAGATTGATATACTCCAAGGTATGATTGATTACGCCAAACTGCAAAATGTCACTGATTTGTCAGCTCACACGAATGCAGTTTATGAGTTCTTGAAAGGGAAGCTTCATTTTGAGTTTACAAAGACTCAGGTATATGGGAAAATCAGACGCTTGAAGAACAACTACTTGAAAATCCTGGAGAAACGTAAAGGTAGTGGAAACGACCCTGTTTTCTTGAGTCCACGTGAATCTATTTCCTTTGAGCTTTCAAAAAAGCTATGGGGTGGTGTTGATTTTGTTGATGATGTGAAGAGTGGAATGAAGAAGAAAAAGGATGGAAAGAAGGCCATGGTTAGAAAATTACAACTAAAGCATGATGATGAAGTGAATGTTGAGGAAGATCAAGGAGGTTTCAAGCCTAATCATCCATTTTTGGAGGAGTCATCTGATGAAAAGAATCTTGAACTTTTGTGGATGCCTGAAAGTTTGAAAGTCTTTATGAGGGGAAACATGACTTTGATTGATTGCGAGAAGGCAAAGGAGTTGGAGGTTAAATGGAAGGAATTACGGAGAAAGGAGATTGAACTCTTCTTGATGAAGTTAAACTTGAGGATGGAGCTGATAAATCATGTCTTGGATGCAATGAAGAAAGGGTGATATTTTGATTCAGGATCACAGCTTTTCGGACTGAAATAGGGTAACATTTTTATTATCTCTTTATGTATCTTAGTGTTATTTCTTTGCTTCCTTGGCTCTGCAGGGGATGAATTACCCATCATGAGAAATCTTTGCTTTGCAGATAGGAGGAGATCATGCTCCGATGCTCACAATTTCAGGTTTAATCAGTTTGGTGAGCTATGATTAACTAAAGAAAACGATTTCTATGCTTATTTCCCTGCTCTCAGCTGTTATTTAGAGTAGAATGTGCAGTGTCTTTGCTATCACTCATAAAAAATCAATCTCTACAATTATTTCTTGAATGTCTGCTGTGGCTGAAAAGAATTTCTCCAACAAGCAACACCAAAACCTGTTTCTATTTATCTTGTGTAGAAAAGAGCAATAACAGGAGCTCAAGGGATGCAAATTTTGCAGCTGGCAAAAATTTGGATGATAAAATTTATAGACTGAAATGTCTAGAAGATGCGAGGATTTGCTTTTGATATGGTAGTGCAGAATTTCAGATAAACTGCCCAAGGAACATGTCCTGATTGATTCCGTCATGTAGCAAGAAGCAATATTAAATCTATTATCTTGAGACCTTATGAAACATCTGCAGCATCGTCATCTAATGCCTGCAAGCTTAATCCAATCAGAGCTCGAAAACATAACAGTTGTTTTATGTCCATGCCATTGGAAATCTTGCAAGCACGGGCGTTTCAGCTAACGAAGCAACAAAACATACAGTAACTTGGCGAGCCATAAAATGGCAAATGTCATGTTTGGAAGTTGGAATGTGCTGTTATAGAGTAGTGTTCAGTTGCTTCTTGAAATTAGTACAATTCGTTGCAACATCTTTGGATTGCTATTTTTGGAAGTTTTGTAGAAAAATATACTGTAACGATTTGTACGTGAGAGAGAGGAGTACCGCTTCACCTAAACTAATTCTTTGAATTTAATCTGCTTAAACACAAGTTGGGTATCCAAAGAAAAATCCAACCCAACCAATGAACAAGTTAGGTTTAGTTAACTCAACCCACTAAAAATGGACAGCCAAATGGCCCGACCCAATCTTTCAAATTACCAATTGGGCCAGGCAGGCAATTCGTTTATTTCGTTAGCTGTATTTTGACTAACATTTTATCTATATTGATAGGCCTGATTTTTTTTTTTTTGGGTTTTAGAAATTCAAAATCGATCTGGCACATCATTTACAATAACACTTTAAAAGCCAACAAATATTTTTAAAAACTATCGAAAGAATAGGGTACCAATGGGGGTGAGAAATGTGGTAGTGATGGGTGGCGGAGGTTACTGATGGCAGGCAGTGGAAAAAGGAGAAGGAAAGTGTTTTAAAAAAAAAACAAAATAGAGGTTCGTTTCGTTAGCATGATTTGAAAAACAAATTCAAATATTATTCAATTTGCATCATAAACATTAATTTTTAAATATTTTTTTATATCACGTGTATCACATCACCAATATTTTTTTCTAAAATATTATAAATTATAGTAAAAATTTAGATAAACACTAAAAAAATACACACCATACAAGTGGACTACTTATTTGGTGGGTAAAATGACCAAGAGATTTAAGTGATTGTTATTTGAAAAATTAGTTTCTTTAATATTCACGTTTGCTTTTATGTCTAGATTTTGTTTTTTTGGATAAAATCCAAAAAAAAAAAAACTGCAATTTTAGCGAATGTCAGAGAGTCTTCCTATGATTTAAGAACCCCAGAGAATCCCTTTTATTTTGAACTTATATAAAACAAGAATAGAAATGATCCAAATTACTGGAGCTTGAGGTATCCTAACCTAATGCGTAGATATGAAACTTTGCCAAACAAAACAAAGGCACCAAATCATACCATAGGTGGTTACAATGTGGATCTAGGATTCAATTCATACACCCAAAAAAAAAATCACAAAATCTCAATACTATAATATTTATGACTTCACAATTAACAAACATTATCACAACCATGACAGTGATGACCACCACAAAGAATGGAGATGGTGAAAAGGTGGTGATAGCTACTCTGGAATTGAAAATCTCAAATTTAACTGAATTTGATTTCTTGGCCGTCACAGTTTGTACAAAATTTATTTTTAACTAAATATGATTTCCTGAACACCACTTTCAATACAAACTCTTGTGCTTTATTTCATTCTATTTTTTAAACTCACATATAGAATAAAGGGAAAATAGTTCAAAATGTTCTTCACATTTTGTAAAATGACTTTTTTTGTCAGTTACTTTTAAAAGTGTAATTTTACGTCTTTTACAAATTTAC